TGTGGTGATGCTGGTTGTTGTGCTTGTGGTTGTTGTTGTGGTGGTGATGGTGGTTGTTGTGCTTGTTGTTGTTGTGGTAGTAGTGGTTGTTGTTGTGGTAGTAGTGGTTGTTGTTGTGGTGGTGGTGGTTGTTGTGCTTGTTGTTGTTGTTGTTGTTCTCGTTGTTGTTGTTGTTGTTGTTGTTTTTGTTGTTGTTGTTGTTGTTGTGGTTGTTGTTGTGGTTGTTGTTGTTGTTGTTGTTGTAGTTGTTGTTGTTGTTGTTTTTGTCGTGGTGGTGGTGGTGGTGGTTGTTGTTGTGGATTTTGTGGTTGTCGTGGTTATAGTTGTGGTAGTACCTGAATAGTTTGGGGAAGTTTTTTTTAACCCAATTGTGAGAAGGATTGTAGACTTTCGCATGGTCTGTTGTGGTGGGTGGGAATGAGGCGGCAGGAATGTTGGTGATATTGAGGGAAGTATTGGTAGGGCGTCGGGCGAGTGCTAGAGCACGGCATGGGTGTGAGAGTGGGCTATTAATGGCGCGTAAATTTTAATATGTTAACGTGTGCAGTGGAATGGGTGCCCTCGACCAGGCGGATGATAGTTAAGGACGTTTTGTCGGAGAGAAATAATGTAGAAGATTTCGGCTGTGGAGAGACAATGTGGTTGTTCGGGATTTTTTGTTTGGGTAATGGCGGGGTGATTTTTGATTAGTACGGTGAGAATATAAATTAAAGTGAGAAACGGAAATGTGGAGTCAGCATTAGTGCATGTATGGTACATTATGGTGGTTGAAAAAAGTGGAGTTACTCGTGGTCGGAGATGTTTTTTTTAGGGGCATGTGATCAGAATACGATCAATAGTGAGATAGTGTTGTTTGCTTAGTACCGACGGATTGAAAAGTATGAACCCGTCGCTGTAAAGTGGTGGTATCTGTATGACATGTGTATGGATACTGTCGATTGGGAACTAGATATACTTCTCATCGTGAACGCTCGTTATGTGGAGGTAATTGTTTTTGTGCGGATGGACCTTGTGCATAGTGGATACCTGGGTACAATGACGATTTTTCAATATCTCTTGTATTTAGTGTTTTTCTATAAAGGAGGCTTTCTGTAGTGGACACAGTCATATAGTTTTATGATGTAGACGTTGGGTAGGTGTTTATAATTTCCATAAAAGGAGAATTTTGTTACATTTTAAGAACTGTTAACTTGCGTTTAAAAAATGGACGAAAAGAGAAATAAGATTAGCAGTGCGTAATTATTTAACTCGCTAGCACGCTTAAGATAAGGAGAAATCTAGTCTGTTTTGTTGTAAAACAGATGCTCATTTTCTGAAAACGTAACCGGTCTATCGTGGTGACGTTTGAGAAGGCCTCAACGTATCCAGTATAGTGAGATTTGAGTGTATGCAGTTTTGTTGAGTATGATTAGATCTGTCATATGATAAAAAAATTATTTTAAATTATGTCGAAGTTTTTTGAAAGTTATAACCACTTTATTAAGTGTGACTAATCGTTGTATATCTTACATCTGTTTTGTAGAAAAAGTATTCTGATAGCGTTTCACTCATTGAACTCAAGCGAAACATTGTTTTCTGGATGTTTTTACATGGCATTATGATATGGTTCGATAGAATTGGACAAGCTCTACAATAATTTGAATAATAAAAAAATTAACATCGTGTGCGATACAAAGGGTGAAGAAAATCTGAAAGATTAATAGAAATTTTACATATCTTTCATTTTTCAGAGCATACTTAATTTTTAGCAACTTTAGCTAATCGATTGTTAGTTTATTTTTTGAAATAGAGTGTCACATACTGAAGCTGAGAATACCTTTTCGAAGTTTCATAAACAGACGGAACGGTCGATTAGCTACAGCTTTTGCAAGTTCAGCATATTCACTCTATAACAAGATATTTGAAATTTTTTTAGTCCTTCTGGTTTTCTTCAATTTTTATATTGGAAAGAGCATCACAATTTCTCTGTGATTGAGATACTTGTACAGCTCGTTGAACTTTGTCGAATCATATTTAAGCATATAGAAAATAATATTTAGATTCGGACGTTATAAGCATATGTTGTTCTTTGAAAAAATGTAACATGTAAAGTGCTTAGTTATGATTAGTATAACATCCATTACTTTTCATTACGTCGATACAATTCGAGGCATGTTTTTACTGAGATATACAGCTCTAATCATGCTCTACAAGACTATAGTTCAGTTGACTATCTACACAAACTCTGTTAGTCAATAAATGTATTGATTAACTGGGTCAAAACCTAGTGAACAATCTTTATATTTCATATAAATACTTGTTGATTTACAGAAAGGTGTCGAAACTTTTGAATCATCCTTTAGGATGATAGTCCGTATTGACCTTGTATTTGCTATGTGATTATTACTCAAAACTATCGTGGGCCAAAAAATGACCTTATTGATTCTTGTTCTTTCTCATAGAAGCATTACTTCGGATTGCATCGATGTAGGCGGCATCAAATTATCTACACTTCTGTTCACCGACGATCTTGCTCGTTTGATGTCACCAACTGTCGAACTGGAAAGAGCCATTGATTGATTCAGTATTGAATGCTTCACCTCTGATATGGTGACTAGGGTGAAGATGGCTGAACCGATGGTACACTCTAGGCAATTAGGTCAACACAATCTAGAGCATTATGGAACTTCGTTGAACCAGTTGGACAAATTTAAATACCTCGCTGTAGAGTTCTCTAGTGATGAAAAACAGGACGACGAAATCGATCGACAAAACGATGCAACGAATGAAATTTTACGCTCATTATATCGATCAACGGTGAATAAGGCAAAGCTAACGAGGAAAGTCCCCCAGGTGATCAATAGCTTTTCCGTAGACACATACATAACTGTATGGAGTTTTCTGTACTGATTCCGAAATATCAGAGTGTTAGCTGCCCTTAGGTCTTTCTGGATTATGTGTCATCACTGTGAACTACCTTCTCATAAGTATGTTTCTCATAAAATCCAATCTTGTAATCAACATTTCAACCTTAAGTTTCAAATACTAAACTATAAAGTAATGAAGTAATTCGTATGTTGACTACAAATAGTCAACTGACATTTCTTCTTGTTTAATCATCATATATTCATAAATTAATCATAGCTGTACTATATTCAGAAAAGTATACAACAATGCAAGAAATACAAAACACGGATGTTAATTTCTCAAAATATAAAACGTTGGCACTGTGAGGACATATTTCCCAAAAAGGCGACAAATTAAGCGAGATTTGGTAATGCAATACATATGATAAAATTATTTCCTTATCTTTTCGTTGTGCGAAAAATACTAAAACCTAAAGGGCACTTTTACATATTTAGTTTTTGTCCGTCTTACGGTCGATCTTAGCATTTGAAACTTGAGGTTAAAGTGTCTATAAAGAAGTATTTCTGTGTATATTTTGTTTAGTGATACGTGGTAGACTGATTAAAAGATTGAATTTGATTAGATACATGCTCATCAGAAGGTAGTTCACAATTATGACACAGAACCTAGACAGGCCTAAGGGCCGCTAAGACGCTGATATTCGAGATCAGCGCAGTGAACTGAGTACAATCATGCATGTTTCTACGAAAAAGCGATTGATCACCTGGAAGACTTTCCTCCTACGTCAAAAGACTAAGCTGGCAATCTTCAAGTCAGTAAATCACCTATCCCTCATCTATAGCCACGAGCAATTGGTTCTATCGGAGAGAATTCGAGCACGCCTACAAGCAACTGAAAGAAGTTTCTACAAAACACAGCAGATTTCATTCTCTGAAACAAAGTTCGAAATTCAGATATATGAAGAACTCTCCACATCGAACGACCGTAACTTCGATGGACTGATGTGGTTACTGCGGCACAAGACTGAGGTCACTGTAAAATTCTACTGAACGAACTGTAATATAAACTTGATTTAATATTTGGGAATATACAGTTTGAATATATTGGTTTTTCAGCTCAAGTGAATGGTGATATGTCATACTGCGTGCGGCTCACTTATAAGTAGTGAATATGCAGGTGAACTTCGTCGTTTCCAACTGGTAATTACTCAAACATAAACTTCCAAGTAAGTAAAAGAAAAGACACAATGTTTGTTTCAGCGTTTCTTTGTTGTACTTTCTTGCCTTTATCCTACATAGTTGATGAAGTTCATTAAAGAGTCAATCACTCTAAAATATTAAATCCACATCCACACCCTAGTTTAGATCTTTGAAAGTTTCTATTTATAGTGTGTTCAGAATTTCATTTTCAGAGTGAAGTATTAGAGAAAGATATGACTAACTATTGTGAATTTGTATGAGGTTTTCTTGTTTGAAGGTGATGATTGATCCGATATATTTTGCAGTTTTTCGCAGGTATTTTTATTATTCAGTTGATTAGGGAATAGTGTGATTTATGAGCCGTTTGAGGATGTATAGGGAAGCTTACTGATTTCAATAAAGTTAGTAAATTGTTTTGATTTTTGAGAATTAGATATAGTTACTTGAAGTGAAATGGAAGTTTCGAGCTAATGACATCTTTTTGCTGAGCTGTGATTGCTATAGTATTAGTCCACTGACGCTAAAGATTTAGTTGAAAAAGTCAATCAAAGATTGATAAGAATTAGGCGCGATCGACACGATTAACTGCTGCAATAGTTTTCATCAAGATATGCAAAAAAACATGAAGGACTTTGAGAATGGAATTTCTTGTAATGAGTTTGAGCATTATTAATATTTCTACTAACGAAGAAAAGCTCTTTCGCATAATAGTTTCCATTTGCTGGTAGAGTTAAATACTATTATACAATATTCTTTCCATCTAATGCTTTTTCGAAGCTAAACACCGATGACTTTATCACGCGTGATATTGCATTGAATGCTTTCCAATCAGAGAGCAAAATGAATGAGAAAATCTCCAATCGATTCGATTCTCACTAAGAATAGAAATAATGCTACTTTTCTAGTACATTTTATTTGATATACATCTTCCACTCTTTTCTTCGTGAGATATTTAGTCTACTATTTTCCTCAATTTTTATATGCATGGTATTTCCATACATATTTTATGATCATTTAGTTATGTAATGTCAGCAGTATGTCAGAAAACAGACTTTACAGAATAAAATTGTTCGTAAAATGTCTAGGTCGATCTTTTCTCAAATAAGGCTGTACCTAATGCTTGAATAGTAGAAATTTCGCAACATGAGTGCATGTCGCAAAATTGGATCAGCAAGAACCAATGGCTACTAAAACTAACCAAAACACTTTACAATGAAATCATAGAAGCTCGTTTTCTTTATAATCCTTCATTCAAAAGCAATAACTAAAACATTTGTAAAAGAATAGATGACC